GCGGCCGGTGTGGCGGCGGGGGCGGCCCTGCGCCGGGCCCGGCTGTCCGGAGAGCTGCAGGTGGGAGACGGCGTCGAGTACCGCGACGGCAACTGGACGGGAGCCGCCAGCGCCTGGACCTCCGCCGCACCGGCCGGGACCCCGCCGGGAAGAGCGCTGCCCTGGCTCTGCCCGCTGGCCGCCCTGCTCCGCCGCTGACGGATTTCGGGGGACCTGACTGTGCCCGGTGCACCCACAACGCCGCGAGGACCGGCCGCCCCACCCCGGGGCTGAGCCTCACGCCCCGGGCGAGCAGCGGCTCCCGGGGCTGTGCCCACCCACCGCCGGCGGGGCAGGACCCCCRCGGAAGATCCTCCACCACCACCTCCTCCCCTCCACGCCGAGCCAAACCCCGCCGGCTCGGGCACCCCTTAGCACCGCGCCTTTTGTCCGTGGCCTCGCCGTGTCCGGAGGCCGAGAAGGCGGCAATAAAGCTGGGCGAAAGCAGCTGTGGCTGGAGTGCGGGGCGAGGGGCGGGACCCTGGGATGGCCAGCGCCCGGCCCYTGCCCACGCACGCTTTATTTCGGGAGGGAAGCCCCAGAGCAKAACAAGAACGCAGCAAGGAAACAGCTCCGTAGGGGTTCCCAGGTCCCATGATGACGGAGACATCAGCCTTGCTACAGGCTCTCCAGGGCGGGCAGAGCTCTCCATGGGAGCATTGCAATAGTGACACCACGGGGCATCCCATCCCTCTGCCCTGGCAGAGCCGCTTCAATCACACACCGTAGCTCCCTGCTGAGGTGTTCCCAACCCCTCGGGGAAGCAGGGTGTCCCCAGTCCACATGGCTGCACGCAGCGCCTGTCCCCCACCGGGACASGTCTCAGTCCAGCGTCACCCTGCCCAGGCGCCCTGCTCGGAAGTCCCGCAGGAACTCGTAGGCAGCAGCGGGGTAGTTGAGCATTGTCATGTTGACATTCCCTGGAGATGGCAATGGATACAGGAATGTCAGTGCAGSMTGGAGCTGCCCTGGGATCCCCAAARTCCCAGTCCCTGCATCCCAGATCTCCCTGAGCACCCACCTGTGCCTGTCAGCACCTTCACCTTCTGTGTGCGGCCCCGGGCCAGGGCCACGTGCTTGAGCAGGGGCTCGATCTGGTCACAGG